CTTACTTTAACAGCTGACACCCTCTGAGGCTGGGACTTGAATTTTTGCTGTAGTTCAGCCAAGCTTATAATTAGGGCTTTGGTTTAATTTTCTGCAACTTGAGCTCTCCGGCTACTGGAGAGAAGATTCTCTTCCAGGGTACCCTCAGAAAACATTAGACTGTTTATGTGCATCTGGAGCCTGTCAGTTTTATCATGGAGTTTATATTTGTGCTTCCCCATATTCTGAGATTCTAGAAGTTGGTTAATTTTATCACAGAGCTAATTCTTTCCCTTTTTCAGTTTATCTAAGGATGCTAGGAGCAACCAAGCAGAATCTCCAGTCTCCTCATTTTCTCACAAACTGTCAAAAGTCTTATATGCAGAGTCAGCGAATCCATTGCCTCTCACGACTGGAGAATCCGAATAACCACATGCATTTGTCTCCTCAAGTTTGTAAAATAGTTCACCCCGTGGGCTTTCGGCATTCTCCAAGCTTCTGGGAGAGGCTTCAGTAACTGTAGGTGTTGGTAAATTGGAAAGTCTATCCCAGATACTTAAACAATTCCTCGTTATACTTCTGGTGCTCTAGAACCATTTCTGGTATCAAAATCTGTGTTAGTCAGGGCTCTCTAGAGGAACAGAACTTATAGAATGAATCTATTTATGCATTTATCTGTCTGTTTACACACACACACACACACACACACACACACACACACACACATGGATTTATTTGAGTGGCTTTCAGGCTGTGGTCCAGTTAGTCCAACAATGGTTGTCTACTAACAGAAGGCCCATGTATCCAGTAGTTGTCCAGATCTCGAGGTTAGATTTCTCACTGTTCTTCAGTAGATGCTGAATCCTAAAGACGTAGGTTCTGATGCCAATGAAGGAATGGGCTTGACAGAAACAGCAAGAGCAAGCAGGCAAAACAACAACAACAACAAAACAACCAAACAACCAAACAACCAAACAAAAAACCAAGCAGCCTTCTTCCATATCATTTATATAAGTTGCCAGCAGAAGGTATGGTCCAGATTAAAGATGGCTCTTCCTGCCTCAAAATTTCTGTATTAAAAGTGGGTCTTCGCACTTCAAATGATTTAATTAAGGGAAAAATCCCTCGCAGCTGTACTCAAGCCAGATGAGGTTTAGTTATTTCCAGATGTAGGCAAGTTGTCAGCCAAGAATATCATCCATCACATGAAATGTGAAGGTCACAAAGATTGCTCTGTATATAGCTTCAGCTACTGTTATGGCATAAATAAGAACATATTGTTTGGCTTGCTGATCAGGCATGGTGTCTTTTCAAAGCTTGGCAGCTCAATGTAATTAGTATACTAATAGCATTCGTATTGGAAACAGTGTGAGTTTGGAGCTTGATCGAAGCTGTCATACACCATTTAAATCAGTTCTTGGATATCATTTATTCTTTATCATCTCTGTATAAATATCACTTGTTAATATACTCAGCAAAAACCTTTAAAACATCTTATGAGATTTTTGTCTTTACCGTCTACTGGGTATACTTTTGCAATAGTGTAAATAGTTTAGCATCGTCATATTGAGTCACAATCTCAGTCTCTGTATTTTGGGGGCATTTGGATGGGATACATTAAATAAACAGAGATTGCATCTGTCTTAGATATAAACAAGACTCACCCTGTTTTATGGCAAGTTCTCCAGTTGTTAGGAATGTCCAAGAGTCAACCTGTGAAAGTGCTATGTGCTACCAGTGGCTGACTGAAAGCATTTTAGGGACAGTGATGTACCCACTTGCTGTGATGAGTCAGCTTGTATTACAGAGCCTCGTCTGGGAAGAGTTAACAATAAACTCAAGTCGGCCTAACTTCAGCCCCTTTTGTGGAGGGCCAGAAATGTAGGGGATAGTTTTATCCACAAGGAGCCTGTGGTAGAATGCCCATGTGACTCCCCAATTTTGCAAAAGTCAATTCTGGTGCCATCTATGCATACATGACAGTTTCCTAACATTACATGTGTCCTTGAGATTTCCGAGATACCTCAGAAACAAGTTCCTGAGACTATTCCTTCCAAAATCCTAAGAATGTGTGAGAGGCAGTGCTCTCTTGGAAGTTCTGCTACAATGCTTAAACTCAGTGGTGTGCTTTTTGAGAAATCTTGTTGCTCTCTCTGAAACCACACTCTGTGAATGCATTTAGGGGGTGTAGGACATGGGTCATGCTAGTACAGGTGTTTAGCCCTTTTAGGAATGTCTTAGGAGAAGAGAGGGCTACTCTTGAAGCAAGCACATGCTAATGCTGGAGCTCTTGGGCTTCTTGTTGTCTTCCTGCAGGAACCAACCACTGAATTTACCTTTGATAGCATTATTAAATTCCTTTTCTACAGTTCTGGCTTTGCAGAGTGTGGGGAGCAATACAAAGTGACAAAGGCAATTCAATGTATTAATCTTAGAAAAAGTGCAGAAGAATAATTTTTGTTTTTTTGTTTTATGAGATAGGGTTTCTCCGTAGCTTTGGAGCCTGTCCTGGAGCTAGCTGTTAAAACCAGGCTGGCCTCGAACTCACAGAGATCTGCTTGCCTCTGCCTCCTATATTTTTTTAACCAGGAAGAAAATACAAACAGGTGTATCTTGTTATAAATGTTATTGTCGTTATTCCATTGTTTCTAATGAAAATATCGTTGACTGATTGCATTTCTTTTGATTCTATTAGCCATAGGAGAGTAGGTTCCATGGAGTCTAAGGTGTTTGAAATAAGCCTTTATTATTGGTGCAGGATTGGTTGAAAGATACCCAACAAAGATAAGGACCTGCCAGAGAGGATAGATTTTTATTTCCAAACGGGAGAATAAACCACATGGAATATTGGAAGGAAAGAGAAGTAGCTGCTGATGTTGCCATACTGTTGAGATCTCCACGATGAAATATTATTTTTCCGGTCCACTTTTGTTTGTAAAGTGTTCACTGTAGATCTTCTGAATACGCAATTTTATCTTATTCTCCTCAAGTGTTTGACTGTAGTTTATCCGAACACATACATATTTATTCCTTAGGCCTGGATAAGAGGTGACTCTGAAAATAATTTTTATTGTTATTACTTCCATTAAGCAAATTTAAATATAGTTGGCCCTGCGATTTAACCAGGATTTCCTAACATTTACCTTGTCCTAAGTAAGTGGTTATATGCAAACCCTGGCCTTGCACTGAGGGCCTTGTACAAGGTAGAGAGTGAGAATTGAGGATGTTAATCCACAGTGCCTTTGTTCGCTGCTTCCACTGTGTGGACAAGGTAAATAGGGATGAGTACATACATCCCCGCTACTTCCAGTGCCACAGCTGCAATTTTCTCTCTGACGTTCAAGTGGTCAGTGGCCGCTTAATGTTTCCCACTGCCCATGGAGGAGAGGGGTTGCTGAGACCAAGCCATCGGGTGGAATAGGCACTGTAGGAAATAAGCTGGGGAGCAGTCTCAAGGGAGAAGGCCCGGCCGTCTGAGTTGTGTTTCACCACTTAACTGTTCAGAAAGGAACACACACACAGTCACACAATATCACATACATTCGTACAGTCACACTCACAACACACACAGTCACACAATATCATATACATTCATTTAGCCACACTCATACAGCACACACAGTCACACAAACACGCAATCAGGAAATGCCCCCATTGACTGTTTAAAGTAGCTCATTTTCAGCACATTGCAGATGAAAGTAGTTTATCTCCTAGCTAAAAGAGAAAGGTAAATTGGGCTAGATGCGTAGGGGGAAGGGTCACGTCAAGGTCAGAGCATACTGAGGTAGTCAGGCTGGATTACAAACCCCAGAAAGAAATCAAAACCAATCATTCCAACGTGGAGTGGAGTTGACGGTCTGCCTCCGGCTTGGACCTGGCGGTTGGTGCCCATGTTTGATGGGCACTCCTCAGCATTGCTGTTTCCTTCTCTGTGACTACAATATGAAATTTGTCCTGTTACTGAGAACCAGTTTTAAATTGTTGGGAGGGAGCATCTGTTTTTTTTTTTTTTATTTTGCCTGATTCTAGAAGAATAGTTTCATTTCCCAACGATATCAATGGCATCTGTAATAGATTCATGTTTTATCGTTCAAACCAAATGGAACTCAAGACCTAATCTATTTAATAGGAGTAATGGATGCTAAAGGATGAGAATCTTTTTAATCTGCTGGGTAAGCAGAACTAACATAGTACTCAGTAGATACTTACAAATTTTGGTCAAATTAAGTGGGGGTATTTGTAATATTTAAGAACTTATATTTAAACATAATTTGAGCATGCTGTTCTAAAGTCTGTTTAAGACATATGGCTATAAATAATAAATTAGTATTTGTTTTAGCAAAAAACCATTTAGGAATTAATTAAGACTATTATTTTGAATGCTGTAGCTGACGTTTAGATATTACAAACCTCAAAAATGGTTCACTGGTATCTCTAAATCTATCTAGTGTTCTGCAAATCCATGGTTGGGGGGCTTAGAATCAGTCCTTTGTAAGTGCAGTGTGTATAGTCAAAAGAATAATAAGCTCGTTAGCGAAGTAGGCATCAAATATAGTACAAATACATTATTAAGAGTCCATTCTTTTTCACAGCCAGGGACATAAAAGATAGAGGACATTTCGATACTGGGTGGGACAGTTTTGTGAAAGCACACATAGCCACAGCGCCGAGTGACTTCTTTCTGTTTCAGTTTCATAAATTGCTACATGAGGAAGCACTCTCTGGTAGATAACACTCAGAAATCAGCACTTAATATGGCAGTAATGGTTATTGCTGTCATTCTTTACATCTTTAAAAATAATTAAGCATTACTGCACAGGCATTATAAAGTTCCCCTATCACCATTAAGAGGATATTTGAGGTTTGATGTAATTTAGCAAATTACATTATACAGTAGTTAAGGTTTTATGCAGTGGAGTGAAATGGGTAGTAGTTAAGCACACTTCCCATACAATGCACTGTACGGAGTTACATGTTCCAGCTGTTGTCAGCTTTGTTCCAGTGTCATTATTGCTTTGCAGGCTGACGTTCCTCAGGGAGTGATTCGAGTGCAAGCTCCCCATCTTTCAAAAGTTTCCATGGCAATACAGCTAACTGAAGAGCTAAAAGCCAGCGACGTGCTTGCCAGGTTTCTCAGCCAAGAAAGGTAAAGGCCTGTTTTAATTATTCTGCGGGGTACCTCACTTTTATATTTATACTGCCCTGCCCCCCTCATGTGTGTGTGCATGTGCACGTGCGCGTGCACGTGCGCGTGCGTCTTCCCATCAGAAGAACAAAGCAGGCTTGATAATTAGACCACTGGAGGGAATGGTGGGAACCGTCAGAGGTAGCTTGTGTTCAAGTTGAGCCTGCAATGAGCTTGATGCATGAGACCACTCAACGGTCCTTCCAGAACATGTTGGTTGGAGGTTAATTACTGTTTGTAGGCTGCCACAAAGATTGCTAATTAAGATGCAGCAAGATTAAAAAGAAGATTCAACTTTCTCTGTGAAACTTAATGAATAAGAAAGAGAATGTTTCAATTTAAAAACTGAAAGCTTGGATGCTTGAGAGAGGACACCCAGTCCCTGAGGTCTGAAGTCACAAGAGGAGAACAGGCTGTCCTCATCAGAGACAAGCATGTCCTTCTTTGTCCTGGGGTACATGCTGCAGATGCTTAGGAAGCTCTGCTCTCCCTCACTGTACTCACTATAGGCCATGTAGCTTCCCGTTCATCCTGTCTCGAATTTGAGACGTCCTGATAAGCTTTTGGGGATTTTAGCTTTTTCCATTTAAACATCTTATTTTTGTTTAAAATAGTTTTAATGACATCCTCCCTATTTATGCTATGAAACTAATTTTTAAAAAATGTTATTAGTATGTGTGTATGTGTGTGTATGTTATGTGTGTGTATGTTGTGTGTGTGTCTTTGTGTGTACAAATTAATGGAGTCCATTCTCTTTCCATCTCTATATGAATTCTAAGCACTGAACCCATGCCCCCAAACTTGTGCACCAAGCACCTTTACCCACTAAGTCATCTCCCCAGCCCCAATCTAAAATTCTTGAAAGAAATCCAGCATCTCAGTTTAAAGGATCCCATTTTGCACTTTTCCTGAGCTTCATCTCATTCTAACACGGGGCGCTTCAGTCAGATTGTCTGTTAATGCCTCTGCGCTGTCTGTACAGCACCTTATGCTAATGATTGTCTCTGATTAAGACTCTGAGCTAGGTGTTAGAGAACTAGAACCACATCTCCCCATCTCCTAAGTTGCAAAAAAGGATGGAATGCCAGAGCTCCCAACATAAACTTCCTTGCTGTAGCAGTCTGCTGCAGATACGATCCTTCCTTCACTTTCACCAATAGGAACACTATATTAGCCCCAGGTCAGACAGCTGGAAATATGAACCTGTGTTCATGTCCACAGAAGTAGCCCCTTATGTCCCCTCCACACCAGCTCTTGGAAGTCATGCCTGGCATTAAGCCTTCCCAAGATGAATCTCTCAGAATTGGGGGCCAGGAGCATTAGGGATTTCTCAGATTGATCCTTCCTCCCTGGAGTGTCTCAGCTACAATGAAGTCAACCCTCTCTCTTGCTCCTTTCCACCTGCAGCTGCCACCTTTGACACTTCTTCTCTCCAAGGGCATGTTCCTTTCCCTCCCAGAATGTGTCTGGGGGTCTGGATGGATCGAGTCAGGAGCCTCCTGCAAGCTCCGAGAACTCAGTTGCTGCTCATCTTTTCTACTTAGATTTTCCAAGCGTAAATCCTCATGAAATGGTACAGTCTTGTTCAGCTGGGTCCTTAATATTTTGATATACAGCATGAAACATTAGTCAGTATATTCACCTACATGCTATTCTGTCTTCCACTCAGGCTGCTGTTTGAAACGGTAACATTTTCCTTCTTTTATGTACATTTACATGTGCACAGTGCACATGCCATGGTACCTGAATCAGTTTTCTCCTTCCCCCGTATTGGTTCTGGGTCCTCAGCTTTGGCAAGTTCTGCTGAACATGTCCCATTTCCTGAGTTAAAGTCTCCATTCTCCTTTAGGAAGAGCAAGACAGAATAAGGACCGCCTTACAGTCTTGTGAGTGTGGACTAGGAAAGTGGCCCTTAGGTCCTATTGATGTTTATCTGGGCCACAGAGTGAGTGACATACTCAACCAATGGTTGTACTATCGTTATTCTCTACCATGTACTTGTGTCTCCCCCATTTATATTCTGCCTGTTTGGGACCATTAGGGAGCTCCCTTTCCTTCATCATTCACTTTCCCGCTCTCTCTCTCAAAGCCAATGCACACACATATGGGCAGAAAGTACAGCAAATTGGCCATTCATTCATCAGTGTTTGCTGAAGTATTGATGCCTTTCCAGCAATACTTATGAATTTGTTGACTTCATATGAAAGCTATTCTAGCTCAGAAAGTTTGTTTAGCTCCCTGTAAAAATGAAAGAACCATATAGACACTTGAGAATCACGCTGAAAGCCATTTTGAACTAGATTCTTAAAGTCAAGTCTTTTGTGACATTCCCTGGTTGTTTTAGAGTCACAATAACTCTTGGTTGGAATAAGAGTAAGACCACTGGATGGTATACAAGGCCACACGGGGTCCTGACGTGTGAGTGTGTACACAGTCCTGGGCAGACAGTGTTGCCGTGGGCATAGCAGTGGGGAGAGATAGGATAATCGGGGAACCAAGCAGAGATAGACTGCTTGGCAAAGCTGCTGCTATGCCAGGAAATTCTCATAGCTGGAAGAGTCAGACTGCTTCATTTTCTTCCTGCTTACATGCGGCATCTCCTCTTGGCATGCTACACGGGTATCTGTACGCCATGTGTACAGTGTCTGTGGAGGTCCGAGGAGGGTATTTAATCCCCTGGAACTGGAGTACAGCTGGTTGTGATCCACCTCATGGGAGCTGGGGATTTGAACCTTAGTCCTCTGGAAGAATAGCCACAACTGCTGAGCTATCAATCCAGTCCCTCTCCTCTGCACCCTTATCAACAGCCCACAACTTCTCTAACCCCCAAACCACACACTGCAGAGGATTTTAAAAGCAGATTCTTGAGCTTCCTCCTAGAAATGTAAAGTTTGGCACTAAAGTTTTAGCCAGTTTTTGTAGTAATTTTTTTGTTGTTGTTGTTTTTTGAGACAAGGTTTCTCTGTAGCTTTGGTGCCTGTCCTGGAACTAGCTCTTGTAGACCAGGCTAGCCTCGAACTCACAGAATACCTGCCTCTGCTTCCTGAGTGCTGGGATTAAAGGCATGAGCCAACCACCGCCTGGCTAAGTAATTCTTTTACAGAAAATTTTGACCAAAATTACTGAATTATAATGTGTGTGTGTGTGTGTGTGTGTGTATGCATGCGCGTGCGCATGTGATTTTAGAAAAGTTTACCTTTTTTTTGAGGCAGGGTGTCTCTGTGGATCTCTGGCTCTCCTGGAACTCACTCTGTAGACCAGGCTGGCCTTGAATTCACAGATATACACCTGCTTCTGCCTCACTAAGTGCCTGGATAAAAGCGTGCACCACCACTGCCCAGCTAAAGTTCACTTTTGTAACCAACATGTAAAAACCTAAAACTATAAAGAGTTATGAAGTATTGAGAGGCTCCCATTCATGGGTATACTACATAATGTCAAAATGTGGCTAATTGTATCTGTGTGCTTAATGCTCAGCACCACTTTATGGTAGGTAGAAAATTCTAGTCTTTGAAGAATGTAAGTGTATAAAGGTAACATACTGGGTGAACAATTAAATACTAAGTGTAATGGGGAAACCAAGTCAGTACCTTGGCCCTATGAAGAATACATCATCATATCAATATTAACTTGATTCTTATGGTGTTTACAAATTTAGAGACTGATTTATTCTTTTGCCGTCACATCTCTGATTCTATTTATTTTGTTTCCAAGTGTGACATTTTGATTACCTGTAGGGTATGTTTAACAGACGGAAAAATGCAAACTGTATAACTGCAGTTTGTCTAAGTTATGAATTTTCCATTTTTAGCTAGAATTTCCCAGTCTGCTAAACTGATTTTCCTTGCAAACTGTTTGATGACACAACTAATCGGTTTGTTTTCTCCCTGGTAGTGGGGTTGCCCAGACACTCAAGAAGGGGGAAATTTTTCTGTATGAAATTGGAGGAAATATTGGTAAGCATGTTTTCATCCTATATGTTGATTTGATGTTGCTAATGTTTATATTTGTATCTTTGGAACAAAAATATTTCTGTATTTGAAAGCAAACATACCATGCCTTTGACAGTTGTTGTATAGTTTGGGTTTGTGCAGTGGTCTGACCTTTCTTCCTGGGGCCTGTTTTTTTAAGTTCCTTCCTTTCAAATAATCACATTCAGCCTTGCACATTTGACATTTTTAAAATTAATTAATTAATTTATTTATTAAAGATTTCTGCCTCCTCCCCGCCACCGCCTCCCATTTCCCTCCCCCTCCCCCAATCAAGTCACCCTCCCTCATCAGCCCAAAGAGCAGTGAGGGTTTCCCTGCCCTGTGGGAAGTCCAAGGACCTCCTACCTCCTTGCAGGTATAGTAAGGTGAGCATCCAAACTGCCTAGGCTCCCACAAAGCCAGTACGTGCAGTAGGATCAAAACCCAGTGCCATTGTTCTTGACTTCTCAGCAGTCCTCATTGTCAGCTATGTTCAGCGAGTCCGGTTTTATCCCATGCTTATTCAGACCCAGTCCAGCTGGCCTTGGTGAGTTCCCAATAGATCATCCCCATTGTCTCAGTATGCACATTCAACTTTTCATTTCACAAATAGATCTTGGAAATTAGTGTGGTTCCTTAGCTGAATCCCAAACTACTGTTAATGTTTAATACAGGTGAGGATGATTTTAAAGTCCATCCCACAAAGTATTTTCACTTCTTAACATAATTCGATACCAGCACTAGAGAATGATTACCCAAATGACATTTTTAATACCTTGGCCAGTTCTTTGAATGTTGCCATGAGACCCAGGGAAGGAGGACACAGATTTTGAAATCTAAGATTTGTTTGTAACCATTGGGATTAATTGGTATTCCCCCACTGTGTTAACTGATACCACATCTCCTTCACAGGGGAACGCTGCCTGGATGACGATACATACATGAAGGACTTGTACCAACTGAACCCGAATGCTGAGTGGGTCATCAAATCCAAGCGACGGTAGAAGACTAGCCAGAGGACTAACGTCATCATTCTTGCTGGGTCAAGAGTGTTAATAAAAGTAGCAAGATTCTTAATTATTCAGCTGTACCCAATTATATTACAAAGTGACATCCCCAGTTTTTAAAATTACAGGTTTTTGTGACTTCCACAATTGTTAATTATTATTATTATTAAGAAAACAAATATTTTTGGAGTAAGAGAAAAGCAGCTTAATTAGCTTGTGAGCTGTTGATACATACCTTAAAATATGTTCAGATGGGAAAGCTGTTTGGTTTTTTTGTTTTGTTTTATATGAAGTAAATTCTCTAACCCCCCCCCCACCTTTTGGTACTGGGGATTGATCCATAACTTTGCTCATGACATCTAATGATATCCCCAGCAGATTAAATAATCTTTACTAATAGATTTATCAATGACGTTTTGGTTTATTTACACTTTAAGAATGCTGTCTCCCCTTTCTTCCCTCTTTCTATCTACCTTCCCTCAATAAAACTTGCTTCTTAAACCGGAAAGAGACAGTCCACAGCAGGTATGGAGAGCAATGAAGGCAAGCCTAACTCCACAGAATCCTCTTTACCACAAAGTGTTAGTACTCATGGCTTTGAGTCCTCTGTCTGAACTGTCCTTCCTGCAGCATCCCAGGCAGTGGTCTTTTCAGCTTATCTGATGTATGTGCATAAATCTGTATCCATCATCAACACCAAAGATGTCAGGAATGTCCAATCATCACCAAGCCGTGAAATGCTTAAATACTCAGGAGGAATAATATGGATCCACGCAAATGCCTGAACCACTTCTGACTGCAATGTCAAAAACCAGGCCACTTTTATGTACCACACTCTTCCAGATGGAATCTGAAGGGTAGCATATACAGGTACCTGGTGGCATTATCAACATCATCATAGTACAATCTGGGACAACTGGAGAATACAGTGTGAAATGTTACTTTCTGCCCTTTCCCCTCCCCCCAGAATGAGTCTTCTGTGTCTGATGATCATTGCTGTGAACCTTTTTTTTTCTGTTTTCATATTTTAACTAATCTGAGTCCATTTGTGAAGATGTCATGGAAAGTGTTATTCCCAGGGCTTTTTGTGCACAGACCACACTGTGACAAAGCATGGATCTCTGCTGTGAATAAGAGAAATGAAATAAGAGCATAAGTTCGCCGTTTTCTAAGAGTAGAGTGTTATCGAGAAAAGGGGGCACGCATAGACGTGGCACCCGTGTGTTGATGGCACTGTTCATAGCTCTTCATGGGATGCTGCACATTCTTAGATGCTCTTGATGTCACTCTAATGAGGAAGGAAAGCACCGTTCATGAGAACAGCGAAATGTTCAGTGTGTAATTACCAGAGCAGCCTGTGGATGGACGCTTCCGTAATGCCATGGTGAATCGTGCCATTGCTTTTTTATTTAAAGAAATTTTATAATTAAATGCCTTTTTCTAAATGATTTTCTCTTGGAATTATTACTTTTATTCCAGTGTGTTCATGGGTCTCTTTTTGTCTTTCTAAATTATTTTAATTAACAGTCTGTTTTCATGGTAATTAAGTCTCCTCTGCTCTTTTACTGGTTCTTTTCTTTTTAAACTCAAAAGACATATGAGACAAGCTTATTTTCTTCATTGGTTTTCTTTTTTTTTTCTTTACATAAATGTCTATTCTTTGGGGCTTTTAAAACACATTTTGTGATGTTCCTTATTATAAAAGTATATCCATTTCTTGGGTAACAAAATTTATTGATGTTTTGGTGCAAACAATGAACAATTCTAAAGAAAAATTATGTGTTCAAAACATTTAGGTATCCATAACAACAGAAGGACAGGAGTTATGATAGCGGTTTACAGAAATATTTCTAGAACACTTGTCCACTGATTCTTAGCACACTGACTGCCTACTCAGGGAGACTGGCAGAAGAAATCTCAGGTTTTTGGTTTGTTTGCTTGCTTGCTTGTTATTTTTGTTTGTTTCTCGAGACAGGATTTCTCTGTGTAGCCCTGGCTGTCCTAGCATTCACTTTGTAGACCAGGCTGACCTCAAACTCACAGAGATCCCACTAAGTGCTGGGATTAAAGGTGTGTGCCACCACCATGCAACTGAGTTCCCAGGTTTTGATGGGCGAAACGATGGATATACACATACCCATCATATGTATATTTGCCTTGATAAAAGAGGACTCCGTATCATATTATAGTGCTTCAGATACATATATATCCTGACGTTAACTCAAATACTTTTACTGTGATTTTTTTTCTTTCCAGTAAGTTTCAACTTTAGTGTACATCTGTTTGGTTGAGAAAACGACGGTGATGTGAGAACAAACACAGTTGTTTTGAGTCTCGACCATATTAACACTTACAGGAGTTGCTGGTGGAAAATCTGGGAACCAGTGTTTAGAGAAAAGTGCTCACCCTTCTTACCTACCCCTATTGCATGGGGCTTCCTGTTCTCACCTCCCTATTCTTTCTTTCCTGCTTTGCCTCCTCACCTGTTGGCAGAATTCTTTTAGATATTTCTGGTCCTTGTTATTCCTTTCACTTAAACAACCTTTACTTAGAATAGTTATGGAAATTGATATAAATTCCTTGTTGATCATCTCTGGGAAAAAGTAGATGGTTTTGTTTTCTCAAGTTTGTAGAATTGGTTTGCACTTTGTGCTTCTCCTGATTTCCCACTTACTTGTCAGTAGGTGGCAGTATTGGGCAGAGATTCCTTTGAATCTAAAGAATAGGACATTGTAGACTTTGAACCGGAGTTTATATACCATACCTTACTGTGACTTTGTGGGTGCCAGCCACCTCCAGCAGTTAGATGGTAACATTGTGGGCTCTGTTTTAGTTACTCACTCTGAAACTGTAAGTAATAATTAACCTCGGTGTGTATGTATGTGTGTTTAATGAATTAGTCTGTTCTAGTCCTTAATCCATTGAGTGAATATGTGGCAGGGATAGATATGAGACCCAGAATTAAGCTTTCAGCAATGTGTAGTGTAAACAGAAGTGCTGTGGTTCAAGGTGGGAAACTGGGAGGAGAGGGACAAGGAGCTCAGAAATAGAAGCGCTTCGGTGTCTCTCTTTTTTTTTTTTTTTTTTAGTGAATACATGTTTCTGCATTTCAACAAATACTGGACACTTGCACATATGTCAAGCAGGCTGTAACCCTTGAGATCCCTTAGTGAGCAAAATAACCAAAACCATTGATCCTATTGGATTCACATTTTAATGAGGGGTACAAGCAATGAGTTAAACAAAAGTAAGTGAATCAAACTGCAGAGTATAATAAAAGGTGGTGATGTGGTGGGGGATAAAAGAGAGGAGCAGAGCAAGTAGGACAAGGGCTGGCGGGTGAGCATAAAACAGCGTGAAATGAGGGCTTTCTTTCAATAGTTGACACCTAAATAAAGACTTAAAGAAAGAGAGGGCTTTTCTGTGTGGATATTTGGAATTGTGTTCTAGACAAAGGGAACATTTAGGATCAAGGTCCACTGTAGGAATGTGCCTTGTCAACAGTGTGGCCAGAGTGGAGTTAGAGTCACCAAAAGCAAAGGTCAGAGAGGGAAATGCAAAGGCAGAGTCTAGGATCATGGGAGCCTTGCATTAGAGGGGTGGCAATTTATTGTTCATTTCAGAACAGCCAGGAAAAGGGCACTACTGGCAAAAGCCATAGCTCTGAAGTAATGCGACATTGTGGTCACTCCACACAGTGAAGGCAGAGCCTACAGGCTTTCTGGCAAGAGACAAGAATTGGCACACCAAAAAGCTTTTTTTATCTTGGCTGTTGGTAGGGTGGAGTCTGGATAAACTATGCCCTTGGCTAAGATCAAGGAAGGGAGTGTGGATTTGATAGAGAAAACAGGGAATAAAGTCCTGAAGCTTCCCAGGACTGGAGGCTGGGGAGCAGGGAAGCATTAGCAAGAAACCCTTCCTAAAGTTAGAGATGCAGGGTATGAAAAGTCATGCGAAGGAAGGCCACCAAAGTCATAGCAGAGCTTCCTTGTCACTCAAATGGACTAGCTATGTGTCTCTGTTGATCCTGATGCCTGGTCGAAAATATTATAGCGGGACTAAGTTCTCTATAAGTGAGGCAAACTGCCCAGAAAGGTGATTTGGTCTAGTTATGGTTTTGAATTTATTTAAGTAATGTTTTGAGGGAAGCTATCATGAGTGCAGGACACAATATACATGCGACTACTTGAATGTGACTTTGGGCACATTTCTTACCTGAGTTTCATTTTCTGATTTGAGTAAACATAATAATGGAAGTATTTACTTTTTAGTAGCGTTATTAGACTTTGATTTTGTCAAGAGCTCAGCAGCATACTAACCAGATAACAAGTAGTCATACAGATGACAGTATTTTTATTAGTGGTTATAATGATTAATATCAGAGTTGTATAATAAGAATTCTCACAATATCGTGCTAGCACCCTGCTCTGGTTCCCCCCAATGTAGAGCAAAGGTGTAATAAACATAATACCAGATTCAATAAACAGGAGAATCAGGGACGGGAAGTAGCAGCTGTATTGAAAATGGCAAGGTCTTCTCCTCCGGTAATTGTCACAGCAGCTCTTAGAAATATTCCTTCCTCCGAGGTAGGAATCACTTCCTACCTAGATAGTTTAAGGACTGCCCTTCTCCTCTTTATCTTGTTTAAGCTAATCAGCCAAAGGTCAAACTTTTTCACTGGAAGTCTATAATAGCATCTCTTCCTCGGAAAAGGGGTGCCATTGGCGGTTGGACAGAACAGTCTTTTCTTTATTTCACGTGAGTGTTAGCCCAACATTGAAGGTGATTTGTTTCATTTATAATAGAGAATGCCAGAGGGCCAGAGTTCTCCNGTGATGACGTATTTTGTTTTTTTTTTTTTTTTTTTTTTTTTTTTTTTGTACTTGATGTGTCTGGGAAGATGGACACTGGGCTTCTTGTGTCAGCTGCTTCTATTGGCTCTCCCACTTTGCTTTCCTGGCTTTCTTGAGCTAATGGGTCTCTCAAATTCCATACTTAATACAAATTGAACATCTCTTCTACTTCTCCTGACCTCTCAGCCTGGAATCTCTACTTCGCATCACTTCCTCTTTTCACTTGTGACCATGAGTATTGTGTGGAGCAGCCTGTTTCTGGTTTTAAAAAAAGTGTGACAGGAAACAAGGGAACTCTTTCCCCATCATAACTCTTTAAATTCCTTTGAATGGACTCTGGGCTATTTTCACGTGCAGCTGCCTATAGTATGAGTGAAAGCTACAAGCTGCCAGGAATGATACTTGAGGCGTTTGTACCTGAAGCCAAGACACTGGCTCTATCTAGCAAGCTCTTCATCCTGAGCTTTGAAATCTCTGTGTCTCAGCTAAAAGAGTTCAGCTATGCCTCATAGAAAGAGACCTCCCACCTTTGACCCTGTTTTCAGTTTTTACCCCTCACTGCATCTCAGCTGTTTAGTTCTGTGTCTTATTGTTTCTCCTATAACCTTTACAAAATGACTGCTTTTATGGGCCCTCTGCCTTAGGAACCATCGAGAACAAGGCACATCCCTTAAAGGGATGTTCATAAGGAGAATGACCTTGGTACAATTATTAGTAGTTCACTGGTTAACATTTTCTTTCTCTCACCTCCCTGTAGCCATGCTACAAGGACAAAAAGGACCAGTTGAAGCATGACTTGTGCCTTTGCAACTCTCAGTTAGTGAGTGGAATCTTGGGTATCTTACCTGTGTCTGCTTGCATCATCTAGTTTGGCAAAAAGTCCAGGAAATCAGCTGCAGACAATATATTTCCTTTGGTACAAGAGTCTTGAAACATGTCCTAGGTCATGTTTTGCTTATTCCCATGCCTACCTAATGTTGAGAGGGAAGAGATTTCCATGCTTTATTTTACTTGCTTATGTATTTTGGTCCCTAGAATTGCTCTCTGAGCCTTGTACCTGTTAGGCAAATGCTAAACAACATCCCTAGCAGGCTTTATGATCTCATTTATTTGAGACAAGGTTTTACTGTGCAGCCCGAGCTGTTTTTGAGCTCAGGATTCTCCTGTCTCAACCTCCTGAGTGAAACATGTTAGATTTTAAAGTATGGAGAAATAAGGACTTATTCGATATACTAGATAATGGCTTAAGGTACTGAGTTTAATTATTAGACAGTATCACAAACAATATTACTAGTAAAGAAGAAAATATGGACATTATGATTTTTCTTCTCCCATTCTTTTCTTCCCCCATACATTTTGATGTTTACTATATATTATACTGTGGCTATATGGCAATAATGCAAAAAGCAATTGTGTGATGTATTTCCACAGGGAAATTACATTTACACTTGTGGATTGGAGCTGTGGAGAATGTATTCTTTACAAATTGACTCAGATTTGATGAAGGCAGATAAGTGTACAACTAACTGTAAGATAAAATACAGTGAGACCATAAGGAGACGATGATAGTAGCTGGGTCAATGATAGCAGAAACAT